CCTCGCCTCCTCCTCGTTCTTCTCTCGCCGTCCTTCCCAGTCACGTTGTTCTTCCTTCTCCTCGTGCTCGATTTTCTACCACCACCTCCAACCACCGCCCATCCACCGGTTCCGCGCCGATCCCAAAACTCTGCAAACTGAACGAACGCGTAATGAATGCGTCGCTGCCTTCCCAAACCTATCGTCGCGCCACTCAGAAACAGAGAGCGCGTGCTGGTAGTAGAATCGGGACGCGAAAAACGGGAGAGAGAGAGAGAGAGAGAGAGACGAGAGGAGGAGAGGGAGAGGGAGGGAGGGAGGAGAAACGAGAAGGTGGTGGAAAAGAATTGGGAGAGGGTGGCGAGGATAGACTGTCCTCTCTCTGTCCGTGAAAGGCTGTGCGGCTGGCTCAGGAGTCTGGAGGAGGAGGAAAAGGATGGTCGTTGAACCCCTCAGCCTCCGGGACATCCTGGAATAATCCCAGCACAGGACCGGTCCTCATGGACTACCTCGGATACACTCCGTAAAAATCGTCTCGCCTTCCTTTTACCGTCTTTTACCTTCTCTTACCCGACACCTGGCTGTATGATCTCTCTTCCTCGCCTTTTCCCTCCCTCTCTCCTCCCGTCTGCGTCTGATTTTTCTCCCTCTTTTTCTTTCCCCTTTAATCGCGAGACACTGTTATCGTCTCGACCTCGATTATTCGGGTAATGAGAATTCCGCGGTTATTTCGGGAACGTTGCTGTTCACTGGAGATGCTTCCGCGAGGATTTCGCCTGGCCACTGCTGGTCGTTGAACTTTACGGTTTCCGGATGTTCTGGAAACCGACATCGACGTGTCTGAGAAACGGAAGAACCATCGCTATCTCACGCGTAAAATAGAACCGTAATCGATCGGTTTTTCGGTGAAAGAAAAAAAAAAAAAATATCCGTTTCGCACTCTCGTATTTTATTTTTGTAAAAAACTACGTATCGAGTGTTTTCCAGAACACAGATATATCAATATATATATATATATATATATCAATCGTTTTTTTCCAAACGACTTCTCTCGCATTTATGCACTTTCCACGCTAAACTTGCCTATGCTAAATGGCATTGAAACGAGCACGACGAAGCTGGAATATTCTCGGATCAATGCTTTCGCGTGTCTTTTTAAGAGTAACGGCATACCAATGCGAAATCAATACAAGCCGCGCGTGTCTGCTTCTTACAAATATAACGGATGACCCATAAACGGAGAAATCTCTTTAGGCTAGTCCCGCATCGCTGATGCAATTTATTTAATTAGTTAATTAGTTCATACGCGAGGAATGAGAAACCTTAAACGTCCACTTCGCTCGTCGCGAATAAGTTCGTTCGTCCATTCTACGTTTCCCCTTTCCAAACTCGAATATCGTGGTTCGATAATCCGAAAGTATCGCCATCGGACATGGTCTAATTGCAAAGTAGCCGAAAGTAGGAGCAGATTCGAAATCGATTCGCGAATTCTTCTCTTTTCT